GCAGCGCCATTGGAAGACGCGCGGTGACCCGTTTGCTGCGGTCTGGGCCTCAGAGTTAGTTCCATTACTTGAAAAAGAACCCAAATTGACAGGGCTAACCCTATGGGACTATTTGGATGAACAGCATCCCGATGTTTATCCCTATGAACTGTTGCGGACACTGCAACGCCGCGTCAAGCATTGGCGGGCCACGCAGGGGCCTGACAACCCGGTTATATTTCGGCAGTCCTTACCCCCAGGACGGCAGGGACTATCCGATTTCACCCATCCAAGAGCCACTGTAACCATAGCGGGACAGCCATTTCCACATCTCATCTACCAATATCGTCTGGCCTACAGTGGCTGGCGCTACGGCCATGTTGTGCGGGGCGGTGAAAGCTATTCAGCACTGGCAGAGGGGTTACAGTATGCCCTGCATAAATGTGGTGGAACTCCGGCAGAACATCGCACCGACAGCTTAAGCGCCGCCTATGTCAATCAGAGTCAAAAGAAACAACTCACGCAATCGTACGATGGTCTTTGCCTGCATTATGGCATGATCGGGACAACGAACAATCCCGGACTCGGTCACGAGAATGGGGCGGTTGAGACCGCACATGGGTCGTTGAAGCACCGTCTGGATCAGGCCATCAAGCTGCGGGGCAGTGCTGACTTTGCCAGCATTACGGAATATCAAGCCCTGATTGATCGCTGCATTGAGCGTCTCAATCGTTACAGTGTGACGCGCTTTAAGGACGAGCAAAAACATTTACAGCCGCTGCCGAAGTATCGCTTCATGGATTACTCGGAAATTTCGGCCAAAGTGACCACCAGCAGCACGATTGATGTCAAACGTTGCCTCTACACCGTGCCGTCACGACTCATTGGTGAAACGTTACGCATTCACCTCTACCATGACAAACTGATCGGGTTTGTCGGGCAAAGCCAGGTGATTGAATTAGTCCGGGTCTATCCCGAGAGGGCAGCGGAAAGAGCCCGACGCATTGATTATCGCCATGTAATTCACTCGCTGGCCGCTAAGCCCCAGGCCTTTCGATTCTCCAATTTCCGCGATGAGTTATTCCCAGACGATCACTACCGGCAACTGTGGCAAATTGTTGATCAAAAACTTCCGGCCAAAGACGCCTGTAAGTGGATGGTCGCCGTGCTGAGGATCGCCGCAGACCATCAGTGCGAGAGGGAATTGGGACAAACCTTATTCCAGCAAGCACAAGCCAATAAGTTGCCGACTCTAAAGATGCTGCAAGCACAATATCTGCACAAGAAGGATCAGCCAGAGCTGCGCACAAAGCAGCACGATATTGCGGGCTATGATGAATTGCTGACCGGCCGCTGGGTTAAACCTCAAACCCAAGGAGGCACGCCATGCCTCTCAAGGTGATGTTGAAAGAGTTACGTCTCGCAACCTTCAGTCAAGAACCTGGAATAACTATCAACG